GTGAATAATATAAAAATATGGACCAGCTGCTATTTCCAACACTGGTATAATATCATATGTCAGGTTTTCTGATTTATGAGAGGTGAACTCGATTTGGAACCAGCAAACCAGCAAGTTTCCAAAATTTTCTGGGGAGGCCTCCATACCCTCCGCGCCTGTTTTTCACCCCCCTTCCTTGGAATCCTAGACCCGCCACTGAACAATTACATATTTTGGGAGCAGAGAACAATGAACAAAAATGTCGGCCTTTTCGCATGGCGCCAAAACAAAGATTGCAGAGCTGAGAGGTAGGGGAGCGCGTAGGGTGTGGAGAGGGAGGCGGAGGAGCCAGTGAAATATTAAGTCATCCACTATTTTGCGCAGTTCGCTGTTTTTGGCCCCCTTGTAAAAAATTCTGGCTACGCACTGTTTTTGGGTGTTTTCTGATTTATATTATTATGTGATTGAAAATAGGAGATTGGGGATTTTTTTTGGGACAACCAGAAATTGTTGGCGGACAACCCGATTTGATGCCGGGGCTTTGTGGGTTGTCCGCAGGACAACCACATTTTTTTTCTTATTTCGAGCACTGCTAACCCTAACCCTAACCATATCAAATAGTTACCAGGGTACGTTCCGGCAGTATACCCTGGGGGACATAGACCCTATGAGCATGACGCGTAACTAGTAGTAGTACTAGTACTAGTAGTAGTAGTACTAGTAGGGCCTACTACTGTACTAGTACTACACAGTACACTCAACACTAGACAACACAACCGCCCGGTTAGTTCATGCTGCATAGTCACAGTGCATATTCTCTACTCTCTGAACTAATCTACTGTCTTTCTCTCTGTGTAATCCACACGCATGCTCGCCCTTATGAACGAGCTCCAAAAGCAGATAGTCTCTGCTTTCTTCATGTTATTGTTAGTTGTTACGGAGTTGTCATCAAATTCAATAACCAAACGAGCAAGCATCTTTCTCGCTCTTTGGCTAAACTACTAATACTAGTAATAGTAATACTAACTCACTGTGCACACTGCATTACAGAAGGCACTTGGCCAGTAGCGGGGCTATTCCTGACCAGATTATTCATCCTACCAAGCCAGTGGTGGAACACGCGAAGTCGAACAGTCAATCACTGATACATCCTAGTGAATCATTCAACATCAGGGTTCTCCAAGCTTTTTCATTATAGCATGGCGGGTGCTGCCTTTACGGTCCTAGTTGTAAATCGCCGAAGACGGTTTGCGTGCTAGGGGGGTCCGGGGGCTATGATATTTAGCATGGCGGCTATGATATTTAGAGTGGCGGGTGCATTTTAGGATGGCGGGGCTCGGCGATAGCCTGGCGGGCCGCCAGGCTATAAGTGCTCTTGGAGAACCCTGAACATGTACTCTCAATTCAGCCACTTTTCCATCTCGTGTTACTCAACTGGCCATCGTTCTTAGCTGTTTCTTACTATTGTAAGCAAGTGTTGCTACTGTTGTCTCTAGCTACATTTGTGTAAAATGAATGCTAACATTAGTAGTAATTCCCTGTAAATGCCGTTCAAATACTCTGCAATACAATCACACTGTGCCAATGTCAACAAACTCGCAGAAATAGAGAAGGTGGGAAGGCGTCAACACTTGTAACACTTTGTGCTTACAATAATAATGACTCCTTCACTCAGTAATTAGGAACATATTTATTGTTTAGCCAGTTGTCCTGCATCGGAACCTTCTTGATTCCATGTAAAACGTGTGTCTGCTTGGCCACGTTTTCTATGACTGATGCTCTGAACTGATTTGCCAGAAATATTTATTATAGTATCCTGTGACATCCTCAGGGAGTTCCAGTCATTCTGGCCATCTTTTCGAGATGATTACCAGCAGCTTTTTCAGAGTCTTGTGTTGTGTCTTGCTTTAACTTTCCAATCAGTGGTTCTGTAATGGGTAGATGACTAAGCAAGTGCACTCGTTCTCTTTCTTTTTCTCTCTTGTCCTTCCCCTCACCAGGAGGATGTATATGCTCGACTGAAGGTGTCAGCAATATACATTTTGCTTTCTGAACTAAAAGTAGCCTTGTGTAGCAACAGCAAAAACAAAACAACAAACCACAGAGACCATAAAGCATGCTAGTATTAGGCCTATCGTCTTTGTTATAAAGACACAATTTTCAGAATATGTTCTTGTTTTACGAAATCTATAGCCATTACCTTTCGTTACCTTTAAGAAGTATAAGAAGATAAAGATCGCTAATATTATGTCTAGAAATTTAGCATGAAATAACAGCAATACTGAGAATTTGCAGCTATTTTGTAGGTTAGCTGGACTTGCGTCAGTAGACGGGTTACACCTAACGCTATGTGACGGTGTTGGATATCTGGAAATAATTTTACTGATTGTATCTTGTGTGTCTCGTTTTGATATTGTTCATGTTGTTAGTCGGTGTTTAGGTTAGGGTGGGGGGGGGGTATAGTAAAAATAGCTGTGAGAGCAAATATTGTATACTATATACATGTATAGTTATTCGTGTCTACTCAATTACAGTGCCTAAGAGGAGCCAAACTATTCCATCATGATTGGAGGTCTGTTCATCTACAACCATAAGGGAGAGGTGCTCATCTCTCGAGTATTTCGGGATGACATTGGGTAAGTGCAATGTATGATGCATGTTTTTTGGTCTAATTCGCTCACATTTTGTGCGATGTTAAAATTGATTGGAGAAAACTAAATAATATCTCATTGACACTCTGTCACCTGACATGGAATTTTAGATGGTTGATGGATAGATGGGTGTTTTTTTGAAATATGCTCCAGGAGTAGTATAATCATATACACGTAATTAACTTGTAAATCAGTTATAAATTCTTGCTAGTCCACACATGGTCGCAACTAAGCATCAGGGTCATGGTATACAAGAAATCTTTTAAGGGTGTCACCATGGGCAGGGGAAAAATAACTTTTTTTTCACAGGAGCTCTTTTTCAAGTCTGTGGGAAAAATAGCTCTTCTCAAAAATTGTACAGGAGCTATTTTGAGCCTCACGGGAGCGATTTTGGAGGTTTGAAGAGCGAATCGCTCATCGCTCCTGTGTATCTTTTACCCTGGTGTTGCCATGGCGGAAGAATGTCAATATATCGTGTTTGTCTTGCAGCCGCAACGCAGTGGATGCGTTTCGTGTGAACGTCATTCATGCCCGCCAGCAGGTGAGATCGCCTGTGACCAACATCGCTCGCACAAGTTTCTTCCATATCAAGCGCGGAAACATTTGGTGAGTGTCAGCGGGGAAATTACTTTTTTTTCACGGGAGCTCTTTTTCAAGTCTGTGGGGAAAAATAGCTCTCGTCAAAATTTTTACGGGGCTATTTTGAGCCTCACGGGAGCGATTTCAGAAGTTTGAAGATCTCATCGCTCATCGCTCCCGTGTATTTTTTACCCTGGTGAGTATAGCGATTTTGATGTCTAAATGATCATGGTTTTTCGCTCATCTGACGTAATCCGATGCAGCTTGTAGAATAGCATGATTGTCCGTGCGTGCGTTCGTCCGTGCGTGCGTCAACAGTTGGGCACAAATCTTAACCGCTCGACGTACGGTCACGATATTCGGGACGTGGGGGGGTAATCCGAAAACGAGCTGGGATGTTGAAGCTGGGGGTCAGGTCAAAGGTCAAGAGGTGTAAAAGAAGGAGGAACATTCCCTCCTTAACTTAAGGTATAGGGAGGAAATGCAGAATTGCGGCACAAATCTAAACGGCTCGACCTAGGCTCGTGATAGTCGGTGTATAGCATCATGGTAGGAAAAGCCATCACTGTGCCGAAATTGGAGGTCAAAGGTCAATGGGGCACAGGGCAGATTTTAGACATTTTCTGAGAACATGGTCTGACGGAGCGATTGAAAAACTTTTTTGTTTCAGCGGTGAGATCTACCATTTTTATGGCTTTATTGAAAGGACCATGAAATGTACTTTCCGCTGACATGCGAAGAGTAAGTGTCGGATAACCTTTTGACCCTCAAGAGGAGGGTTAAACATGGATTTGTTGACTGTTAACAAAGGACTGAACTGCTTTTGCTATTATTAGAGCCCATACCTGTGTGAATGTGAGGCTACAGTTGCACAGTTTAATTGCAAACGCAAATGTTTGTTGAACAAGGTTTACGCTCCTTAAATCATATTATTTTCTAAAGCAGTCTGTCTATAGCACCCTGAAGGCTGAATCAGTGAATGCTCGCGTGGGTAGGCAAAAACACGGGGCAGCCCATGGCTGGCATGCTTCTAATCATAATTGTTGCCTGCCAACCTGCAATGCACATGTGTTTGCAATGCATAGAGATTAGGTGGGTGCGAAAGTGTAGCTGATATATTTGTTCGAATTCGCTACGAAAGTCAAACAAGAATAAAGAAGACTTGTGTATAACTTATAAGACGTCTTGCTATGCACAAATGAATTTATCAGCAGAACACCAGACACCAGATGAGCGCTGTCGCACTGCGGCACTTGTTGTGTATCCTAGTGCGCTATAGTTGTTGAACTCGCTGCTGGTTTACTGGCTCTTTCACTTATGGTATGGTTGGTGTGTAAGTGCTCACATATATGCAATCATTCGTAATAAATTCATTTTATTATTACTCGTATTAAAAGAAACATTTTTCAAAAATTAATAAACTTGAAATTGTATATTCAGTCAAAATGAAAGCGAAGTTAATGTCCTGGCAGCATTCAGTTGCAGCACACGAGTACTAAACTGTTGTTGTCACATTTCTGATTCCACAGGTTAGCAGCAGTGACCAAACAGAATGGCAATGCAGCCATGGTGTTCGAGTTTCTTCTAAAGATGGTGGAAGTGATGCAGTCGTATTTTGGGAAAATATCGGAAGACAACATAAAGAACAACTTCGTCTTGATATACGAACTGCTAGATGGTTTGTAAAAGCACGAGAAATTGTGGCCTATAACATTGTTGGTATTAATGCTTGGTAGCTCGTTTTTCCAAGATGAGAATACCTACGCAATAATTGGGATAGGGTTTTTCTGGCAGTGCAACTAATATCCGTGAACCGGTGTGCCAAATTTCGTCGCAGAGCAATTGCCAACTGTACTTACTAGGTATTGCACAATTCAATTTGCATTTATGAACTTTATCGTATCAAAACGAATGTTAACATTTGTGAATGGTATGTTGCTTGCAGAGATTTTGGACTTTGGCTATGCACAGAACACAGATGTAGGAATACTGAAGACTTTCATTACTCAGCAAGGCATCAAGGGCACGCAGGTTTGTGTATCTAGATAGATTCGTTATACTAGAAGAACGCACACTTCTTCAATCGGCTTATCCTTTTTATCTTGTGAAAACACTAGTAGCTTTAATGTCACAGTGACTAAATGAGTTATTATATTCAGTACTGTAGATGTAAACTTCTAACTGTAGTGTGCCAGCAAACAGCAGTGTATATTTTACATGGCAATTGGCATGCTAGTGCTTGTCAACAATTTTGTTTATATTTAGAAGCCTTTCTAAGTTGTGCTATACACTGTTGACCTAATGAAACAAGGACGATTGGGTCCAAGGTTTTGGACTGGATTATATCGACTTTACATTTTTTTTGTAATAGGGTCTGCACGGGCAGGTGAAATGACCTAGAATTTGATCTGACTCCTAGAAAACTCAATAAATTTTAAAACAGTTTTATGGTGGATTTGCCAATAAAAATTTGTATTTGGGATAAAACCTCTGGTCGGGTTATAAGCAATTCTGTATTACATTGAGCTGTATTATAACCAGGTCAACAGTGTATTATTTTTTTACGTTTTGTTGCTATAAATATAGATTGCTTGGTTTAATATGTTGATGTTTCCTTGATTATTATACCATGCATGTTTGCAAGTAGGATGATGATGATGATCTATTCAGGATAGCGTGCACTAGCTTTTTGTATTATCCATAATTAAATTATACTTCATTTATGCTACTTGCTAAATAATGTTGTTCAACTCTAAATGAAATCTAGCTAAAAGTCTGGTCTTAAAAATTTCTGACTGGTTTTGGTTTAAATGTGAAGTCATTGCTTGTTCTGTCTCTCATGGTATTGTCATAAGTTGTGCTATTCAGGGGGTTTGTGTGTCATTGTGCAGACAGGCAGCTGTCAAAAGCCATGTCCAAATAAATGAATAATGCAACTTGCTTCATCACTGGTAAGGTCAGTAAAATTAAATGTTGGTGCTGAACGTTTGAGCAAATTCACTGTGAATTTTTCAAGTTTGGTATTTATTGTAGAATCGCTTGATCGTCCGTGCGTCCGTCCGTGCGTCCGTCCGTCCGGGCGTCAACAGTTGGGCACAAATCTTAACCGCTCGACGTACGGTCACGATATTCGGGATGTGGGGGGGTAATCCGAAAACGAGTTGGGATGTCGAAGCTGGGGGTCAAAGGTCAAAGGTCAAGAGGTGTAAAATAAGGGGGAACATTCACTCCTTAACTTAAGGTATAGGGAGGAAATGCAGAATTGCGGCACAAATCTAAACGGCTCGACCTAGGCTCGTGATAGTCAGTGTATAGCATCATGGTAGGAAAAGCCATCACTGTGCCGAAATTGGAGGTCACAGGTCAAAGATCAGTGGGCACAGGGCAGATTTTATACATTTTCTGAGGACATGGTCTGACGGAGCGATTGAAAAACTTTTTTGTTTCAGCGGTGACCTAGCATTTTTATGGCTTTATTGAAAGGACCATGAAATGTCCCTTCTGCTGACATGCGAAGAGTAAGTGTCGGATAACCTTTTGACCCTCAAGAGGAAGGTTAAACATGGATTTGTTGACTGTTAACAAAGGCCTGAACTGCTATTGCTGTTATTATTAGAGCCCATACCTGTGTGGATGTGAGGCTACAGTTGCACAGTACAATTGCAAAGGCAAATGTTTGTTGAACAAGGTTTACGCTCCTTAAATCATATTATTTTCTAAAGCAGTCTCTGTATTAGCACACTGAGTAGCACCCTGTATTAGCACACTGTAATGAACCCTGACTGCTCGTGTGTGTAGGCAAAAACATGGGGGCAGCCCATTACGCATGCATGGGGGTGAACTGGCATTATTCTAATCATAATTATTCTAATCATAATAACCTGCAATGCAGATGTGTTAACTCACAGCTGAGCGAAATTCTCCTTGCCTGAATATACTCCTGCCCTGCCTGCAACTCAATGGAGTGAGGTTATCACGCACGAAGGGTGATCCCATCTTTGATTATTGATGACACTTGCACGCGCCATCTCGCGGCAACTGCTTTTGCTATTAGAGCATCCTTCACCCGCCCCCTCCCCCACTCTCCCCCCACCACCACCACTACGCTCGCGCTCGGCACATATCCATGATAACATCTTAATATAGCGAAGTCACAGCTGTATCTTTATTACTGTACTACCGGTATAGCAAAGCCTAGCTATCATAGATTTTAGATCTGTATTAGTAGTATCCTAGATATATGCTCTGAGCACGAACGCGGGGATGGGACGGTGCTCTTCATTCGTTTGCCAGTGAGTTTAGCATCAGAACACCTGCCGTCAGGTGAGCGCTGTCGCTCTGCGGCACTTGTTAATTTCTTATTAATATTGAACAGCAAAAAGTTACATGTAGCGTAAATGTAGCATAATGGTGTTCCATTGGAATTTATTTATATTTGTGTTAATTTATTTGTTGTTTATATTTTTTACATTTACCACATAGTAGGGGCATTTCTCACAAAGCCTGCTGTCACCTGTTCATGATTGCATGTGAGAAACATCAACATGAGTCCCAAAATTGCCATATATGCATGTTGGAAAACACTAAATGGATCTTTCTGCAATTACAGCTGTTTGTGTTTGTTTAGTTTGATCTCTCTTTGATCTGTAAAGAGTGTTTATTAGACTAACCGTGGTGTCTGCATTCTATAACCACCTAATCAACTCCTTATCCATGTCGCACTGTTTATGTCTGTATTCTCGTCGGCTTACCGCCATTGTTTTTAGCCGCCGCTTTGGCGCTCGTGTGTTTTTGAATGTCGTCTGTTGGATTTCAGTCGAAGGAGGAGCAGGCGCAGATCACGTCACAGGTGACAGGCCAGATCGCTCACCGGCGCGAGGGCATCAAGTATCGCCGAAACGAACTGTTCGTCGACGCGCTGGAGTATGTTAACCTGCTGATGTCCCCGCAAGGTGAGCGCGCTCATTTCACAGCGTGGCGTCTTTCGATTTTCAGTCACGGCAAGAGCAGACACAGATCACGTCGCAGGTGACAGGGAAGATCACACACCGACGCGAGGGCATCAAGTATCGCAGAAACGAATTGTTCCTGGATGCCATCGAATATGTTAACCTGCTGATGTCGCCGCAAGGTTTGTGGTCGGGCGCCATTCATTGTGCACCAGAGTGGCAGGGTTAAAGTGATTACGTCACCGTCAATAATAAAAGTAAAAAAAATATTTCCACTTTCACAAAATGTAAGTAATTCTGTTCACTTTTTATGGTTAAATTGCTGAATTATACTTCCTATTTTACTATTCTGTTCGATGTGAACAAACACTCGTGACTCATACATAGCCCATAGCAAGCATTTAATGTCGTGATCAAAATATCAAATCGTCCAGATTTTTTGGATTTTTAACTAGTTGAGAAACAATCTTATCAGGTAAGAATTTGAGGATACATTTAGTGCTGTTAGTACTTACTTTTAATGTAAAAAAAATGGCAACAAACATTTGATAAATTGGACCATAGAAAATTCGTGACGTTGTCAATTTAATTGGTATAACTGAGATGTGATGTTTTTTTTACGGAAATGGGTGATGATTGTACGAGGTGTGCTGCGGTGATGTTGAATATCTTGGCATTGCGAAAAAGGTAAACGCAGTTTGAGCAATTCACCCTAATGGAACTGCAGATATTTTCAAGACATATTAGTATCCACTACAATTTTGAGAAGTAGGCTAAATTGAAAACAATCCCAAACCTTAATTTCGTAGTTCTTGTTTAATTGGATGTAACATATTTATCTTGGGATGAGAGTGTAGGATAATTGCCCTCCATTACTAATCTTGTTCTTATTATTTTGAAAAATAGAAAACGTCCAAACTGCTGCTTTTAAAGGTGGAAAAACTTGAGATCCTACTGCAGAAGTGCTGCTGTCGATTCTAACCTTATAGGGTTTGTGTCCACTATCTTTCTAGGCCAAATCTTGAGTGCGCATGTAGCAGGAAAAGTGGTAATGAAGAGTTATCTTAGTGGAATGCCAGAATGCAAATTTGGCATTAATGACAAAATAGTGCTGGACAATAAGGGCAAGACTACAACGGATGATCCCAGTCGAAGGTAATGTCTGCTTTTACTTTAGAGATGCTTTTCTGTCTTTGAAATTTTCTATCGACTCTGTAAGGTTTCCTATTGGTCTGTTTGAAAGTGGTCCCCAAATAGGTGAGCACCTTAGTGTGCTGCTTTATACGTGAGATTTTAGTATCATCATGATCTTGTACTTATTTAAGTTTGTACTTATGTGCTTTAGTGGGAAAATGTCGATAGCCATAGATGACTGCCAGTTCCACCAGTGTGTGAAGCTAAGTAAGTTTGAGAGTGAGCATAGTATCAGCTTTATTCCACCAGATGGAGAATTTGAACTCATGAGGTGAGAATGTAACTCCCTTGGGAGGTTTTGTTTACAAATTTACCATGTAAATGGTGACGATTAACAATTCATTCGATATATGAATCCAGACTTACTTAGTAGTTCTCAATGAACATGACGTGTGTAAAAATGGGTAATTATATACAATTGCCATGCAATAAACCAAGTCAACACTTGTAGGACATTTCATGAGATGTTCAACTGTTACTTATTAGTGTATATTTTCATAGTGTCATTTTGTATTTGACAAAACTTAATTGATACTGCTGGTTTAAGACAGTGGTATTTAAAATGTTTAGTGGTCTCACTGATGAGTGTGAAGGGTACTTCAAACAATTGTTCAAAATGTGTATTTCCATATCAGGTATCGCACGACTAAGGATATCAGCCTTCCATTCCGCATCATCCCCTTGGTGCGAGAGGTCGGAAGAACAAAGATGGAGGTGAAGGTTGTCCTGAAGTCCAACTTCAAGCCGACTCTTCTGGCACAGAAAATTGAGGTAGTGGAAGCTTTGGAACCCACTGATCATCAACTGAGCCCTATTCTCCACGAGGAGAGAAGGAACTAAGAAGAAGAAAGATCATCAACTGAATTTGAGACTGACTTTGCTTGCAGTGCTTGCTTACCACTTGCAATTTGTAAATGATCACTGTTGTATAAAAGTGGTTTTGCTGTCACTGGTAGCTGCCGGCAAAACTACCGGTTTAAAAAATAAACTATTGTTGTTGTAGGTTCGCATTCCAACCCCATTAAACACTAGTGGAGTTCAGCTGATATGTATGAAGGGAAAGGCCAAGTACAAGTCTAGTGAGAATGCCATCGTCTGGAAGTAAGTGAACGAACTGTTGGTGTTCATACGTAGTCATACGTTGGCATTTTCATTTGGGGTGCAAGTTTATATTTTTGGTCAATTCAGTTTCACCCATATCTTCATTGGAAGCATAGGCCATCAATGACACTCTCTCCAGCAAACTTGGTATTAACTATTAATCTTTGTCTTTTCAATTTCACACTAAAAGTCACTGTTCCGTCCTAGACCATTCTCTGCCCCTGAAGGTTCCATGCACCTATAGTATTTGTTAGATTCACCATTATTATATCTAATCAAAAAAATGGAGAGGCCACCAACTTCTTATTCTAAGAAAGTGATCAGCAGATCCAAAAGCATTTATTCGTAGTCATCTGTAATTGTTCTTATTTTCATAGGGAAGTTGTTGAAAATGTGTAGGAATACGTCATTGGTCAATTGCAAATAAATTTTCAAAGTAAGATATATGTTTAACATCTTTGTTGGCAATACCATATTGATTTAATTAGTGATGGTCAAACCAAAATGGGTCATGTGTAGTGCTGGGTTTTATAGGATAAAACGCATGGGTGGCATGAAGGAATCGCAGATAAGTGCAGAGATTGAGCTACTGCAAACGAATGACAAGAAGAAATGGACACGGCCTCCAATCTCCATGAACTTTGAGGTAAGAAGCACATCGGGTCCCTCGTTAATAATGAATAGTAGTTCTTTATGGGCATTTATAGATTTTATAAGACTTTAAAATGGCATGTTCTCGCAGCAAAATGCATAGATATGCCTACCGTGAGCTCGTCTATGTTGCACAAATTCTCTACACCTCATTTGTATTGCTACTTTCATAACATTTCTTCACAAAATCTAAACGAGAGTAATTGTCTTACGAAAGTAGCAACACAGTGATGTTTACAAATTCGGGACACAGCCGAGCGATCGTAAACAGTTTTTTTCTATGATAAAACAAGTTATAATTCATTATTATATGTTTGTTCAGTACAAAATTGTGAAATTTGTTTAAATCACATTTTATCCACATAACTTATGCAATCAGCAAACAAATGTATAGTGTTTTCTTTCCAGGAACTATTTGCGCTAGTGTACCCACCTTCGCTCAACATAATTTATGTGTATCTATACACTGAAATGACAGAAACTCTGTCGGACGTTGTTTCAAAATTCTCTAGTTCGGAGCACATTTCTGGCTCAATAAGAACATTTCGTGATATTTGCATACTGCAAGTATGCTCACAGTACTGTAGGTGTATGTAGGCATTTTGTTGCGAAGTTTATCCAGTTTAAATCGTATTGATTCTTTCTTGGTTGTTGGAATGTTGCTAGTAAAATACAACAGAACTAACTGCTCTGTGTTATGCTACCAAGCAAGGTTTACTACATGGACAACAGTATAAAGCATTAATGCATTTCCTTGCTGCATTTGATACTGGTAGTTTGTAGCATGGTCACTTTGTCGTGTGTAGCGAACACGTGTGTTTACACGGCAACATATAAACGTGCAATGGCAGCTTTATTTTATGGTATGCCAATGCTCATCTAGCAGTGCTATGGAGATCTGCTGTGACCTGAATCAAGTGTTTGCATGTTTGCAGGTCCCATTTGCACCCTCAGGACTAAAGGTTCGCTACCTGAAAGTTTTTGAACCGAAACTAAACTACAGTGATCATGATGTTATCAAGTGGGTACGCTACATTGGACGAAGTGGACTGTATGAAACCAGATGTTGACCATGCAATAACTAGTACACACGAGTGGTCGGAGGTAGAATGTGTGAGTTTGGGATGTAAGCACACACATGTCATAAAATAACAAATAGGGAACCGTAAAAATTGTAGTGCATTGCAGCCAGTTGATAAATTATCTTGTTATGACCCTGCATAGCAATAGTCATGCGTTTACATCATACGGAGTTACTTGAATGTTTGTGATTACAAAATGTATGTAGAAAATTACAATGTGTTAGGTCATATTGGTTGTTTTGTTGACCAAACATTAAACCTGCAAGAAACCAGCAGGAATTATTAAAAGGCTAAATTGTCATAACTAGCAGTCACATTTCGTTATTAACTATACTAAATCGGTCACGTTGCAAATTCTATTGAGAGAAGAAAATTGGATCTCAATATTGCATTTATTTATTATCGGATGCAAATTTCCTGTTAACATTTATAGTAAGTATTTAACCTGATTTATGCAAAATATACGTTTTCAAGGAATTGTGGTATTTTTAATTGTCTTGCATTCTGTATAAACACACATGGCTGGACATACCGTCGAATACTAGTGGTATTGCTTGGAAAGGAAATGGCTGATGGCACGCCATTCTCTTTAACCCGTAACAGGTATAGTAGCACTGCCGCATCCAAAGAGTGCTATAAAATGTAGATTAAATTAATGCTATCATCATTACTTGATATGTAAGTGATCAATCAGAGGTGTAAAAATATAATGACTAAATGTCCCTCTCGACGATATAAATTTGCGTCGGTGCATGTTGTATTTGAAAAAGTTTGGTGTTGCATGCTTAGCTAGTAAATAGATGGCGTGCGGTTGTACAAAATTCCACATGGTGTCACCGCAGATGTTAGTTTTCCGCGATGATTGAGAAGCAGTTGTAAGATTTCTTGGCACGAGACCATTTTGTTAATGGGTTGTTTGTTTGATGACCTCATTCCGTCTGTCTGGGTGTTTCGAAGAATAGTTGATTTGTGAGACCGGTGACGTATGCAGATATTTCATAAACTCGCAACTCACGAAATTTTACTTACACCATTTAGAAGAGCTGATAAGAAGTTCAGGTTTGATTATTCGGGTAAATGATACCCTGATGGGTTTCCCTCAGATGATCATGATGTTTTGTTGTGCCCAGAATATTTACCAGGTCGAAAATGGACAAAACCCTCTGATTTTCATGCACCAATTTTAGTGCGTTCTAACCTAAGCATTTTGCTATGTAAGTTTTTCGCAATGTGTACGTTTTCCTGTGCCTTGTAGTTATGTGGACGACAGGTGAAAGTGTCATGTATCATAAGGTAGTAACACTACTTAGCGTGCGTAGGTAGACGATTGTTGGTGGGCTACCCTGGCATACCTGTTCGACCAGCAAGCTAGTTTCTGCTGTCCATCACAGTGAAGGTGTTTATTGAAATTTAGAACTTGTTTCGGTGAACATGCTTCGGCTAGGCAAAATGTGTGGATAGACTTTGTGCATTCCAATCAATTAGTGTACCGCTTATATGTAGCATTTCATGTTGGTGAGATTAGAAAAAAATTCTGTTAAATTCTTTGCATTTTCGAAAAATGATGTATTTCCCATACAGACATACGCGTTCGTATATTACGGCAAGTCAATCAAATAGTATCTGTTTGATATTACATTCCTGTCATTTAGGCTCATGCTTGACTTACGCTCTTACTCACACTTCTCTTCTATTGGGCATGGGCTCATATCGCTCTTTACTCGGACTCTATATACTGTCGCTGATCAGTTATAGGTGACGTTGTCTTGTAGGTAGCAACGTGTATACATAAAGATTAGGAGTTAATAAACACAAATTAAATGTTTAGCTAGTTGTTTTTGTGTTATTACAATTTGAAGAACCGTGTATTATACATCGTATGATATTATAGTAATCAGTGATAATATGGAGAGAACCCATTTCGATATCGTGTCGCCCGCATATTTGGATTGGGGCCCGACCCAGCTCCCCTCCCGGTATTAAGCCAAATATAAGAGAAAAGGGGACAGAGAGATATGAGGTGGAGGGAAGGCGGGTAGAGAAAGAGAGAGAGAAAATACGAAGTGTCTAATAAGACTATTTACACACTGCATATGTTTAAATGTAAAAAAACACAAATAAAACTAAGTTAAAACTATTCAATAAAACTGAACAAAAAATTATCTACCCGCTGAATTTCAAGCATGTCTGTCAGCTCAATGTTTCCAACAGAGCTTGTAACGGGCTATTCATAAATTATTCAAAAGCCCAAGTATATTGAATAGTTGGAGGTTTGAAATATATAGTTAGTTATGTGTATCGGCAATTGTTTTTAGCTGGCCAACGCTTACTGTAATCACGAGTACTCAAGTTACGTTGCGCAAAATATAGGTAGCCGGAGTTTCTTCTGACCAATGCCCACACCGGTCAGAGGAAATTTGGTGTGGTTTTATCAGATCCAATAAATATAAATATAAAAACAACTAATAACGATGCTGATGGTAACGTTGGAATAGTCGAACTCGCATTGCAAATCTGTTGTACTAAGATTAGTATACATTCAAAACACTATCTGATATTGGTGGGAGTGATGCGCTATTTTACTTTGAGAATACGGTACCATCTTGTTATAACAGCAACATCTTAATTTATACGCGATACTTAGTTTAGTGTTTATATGCGTTTGTTTGGTACAAAAGGTTTAGGTTTTAAACTCATCCAGTATACATTTTTAATGACGCTAAATAGAGTACATTGCATAACAATTATTAGTTTCACTATTTGGCAGGTTGACAAATTATTTGACAGCTATAATAATGAGTGTTTGAAATGAACGAGCGATATATATATATTATATATATATAAACCGATTAAGCATTTGCTAGGGCGTCATCTGCCACTTTATGCAATATTAAACGCACGATTTCACGCGTTCACGCATTGCCCGCGTATGCGCGTGAGAGAGGAGGGGATTGCAAGCACGTACACCTGGGCGACAATACACTTGGGTCGATTAATCACTGACGCGCTTGGTCTCTGGAAAGAGAATAGAAGCCCCTTTACTATTTAGCAGTATATAATATAACAGCTAAATACACATAAAAATGTTCTAAACGAACGAACAATAGCGAGTGGACGGCTATTTCCTGGATGCGGGGATCTGACCATTTTAATTAACTGGAAACCGGGAATAACGATTTTTTACCTGGGACAACGGAAATGGACCTTCCCGCGCGCCCCACGTCATCTCATTTATATGTGTTTACGACGTAGAACAATGCCCAATACACCCCTAAACGCTGCTCCACATGCCTGTCATGCCTCGATCCCTACACGATTTGTACTTTAGACGCTTGATCGCTACAGCCACTGCCCACTAGCTAATAAGTTCCATCCCCCACTTTCATGTCCCATGGAAAATAGTCGAGATCCGTCACTGCCGCCTCGGGCGTGACATTCACTACGAAGTACGAACCGAATTGCCGCGACCGAGACAAAGATTGCGGAAACCGCTGCGACGCTTGACTAGGCGGCGGCTTGCTAGGTCGGAGGCGGCTGCCTATGCCACGCCGCCAAAATGAACTACACAAAGAACTGATATATATTTATTAAAGCAGGAGTTGTTTCACATTCGCGTTGTCGGGGCCGAAATTTAGTAGTAACATGATAAATTTACAGGGTTGCCAACGCCGGGCTCCAGTATGTTCTACACGGCGTGCGTCAGTATCTGCTGGTGCATCTGCTACGGCTACGGCTACGGCGTAAACTTGCTGCCACCTCGCGGCCAATTTTAATAAACATAATAAACAGCCTCTGTTCTAACAGAATCTCGAGTGAGTCAGATAACTGCCAGGCAACAGGTTTGTTAGTGTTTTGTTTACACTGAAGATGTTGGAGCTTATTAGATTGAGTAGTGTATTATAAGTATATAAATCCCACGATCCTAACGAGTTAGTGGAATAAGTCGAAGTAGAAAGACATTTTTGTCTGGAACATGTTATTGGCACCCCTTTCATACGTGTGCTGGCACTGCTGCTACTGTGCATTGTCACGATTGTGTGTGTTTTCACTGTTTGTATGGCAGATGGGGTCGTTGTCGTATCATCAGGTACTACAGATATGTACCCGAGGTAGTTTTAGGTTGTTTAGTAATGTTCATAGGGTCTATGTTCCCCAGGGTACTGCCGGAACGTACCCTGGGTACGGTCCGGTATACCGGAACGTACCCTGGTACTATCTAATATGCCGAACCGTACCTCGCCTACTCCACTAACGAGTCTAGGAAGTCGCCTACGCCTACTCCCTAGTACTCCCTAACCCGAACCCGAACCCTAACCCCAACCCTAACCCTAACCCTAACCCTAAC